TGGGCCTTTTGTTGTTACTAATGTTTTTCCCTATGGCGCAGTTCAAATCCAAAGCTTGAGGAATGGCCAAGAATTCAAGGTGAATGGGCATCGTTTGAAGCCCTATTATGCAAATGTTGAAGGGTAGGTTGTGGAGGACATCACTCTCCATGCCGTGGGCTCTAATTGAGGCTAAGAAAAATGTTCGTCCGGCTGCACGACGTTAAAGCAAGCGCTTCTTGGGAGGCAACCCATGCATTCAACTAGAGAGGATTTGGGCAATTCAACAATTCATGCCACAAAATCAGATTTGCGTTCCTAACTCTCTATCTCTTTATTGTTTTTATTTCGTCATGTTAGTTAGTTTATATTGTTTGTTTGAATGTGAGTCTTTGTTTGAAACATTGAGGACAATGTTTGATTTAAGAGTGGGGGGGGGGGGGTAAACAAGTTGTTTTTGCATGATTTTGCATGATTTTCGTGGGATTTTATCACCTATCACTTATAATGTTGTTTCTCACTATTTTTAAGTGTTTTTAGAGTGTTTTGAAGTGTTTTCATATCTTTTGTTTAGAAAATCCGAAAATTTACAAAAAAATTACAAAACAATTTTGAAAAACCCAAAAAGAGTTGTTTTAAAGTTGTTTTTGTGTGTTTGTTTGTGTCTTAGGGTACCTTCCAACACAATGATGACGATTTGGTTTTTAATTAAAGAATGTTGTGAACATGGCTGGAAGTTAATTTATGCTTTGGTTTATGCTTGGTTATGGTTATAGCTTATGAATTCACATGTAATTACAAAGAGAAAATCAGTTTTTGTAACATGCTTGAAGGAAGGAACTCAAACTAACGCTACATCCTTGAGAGACTTGAGCCTATAACGTTCTTTGGAGAGTATAAATCTGTGATTTCTTGTTTTCTAAAGTCGTTGCATGATCTCATCATTCTTTGTTTGGTTGCTACTTGGAATGCATTTCATGATAGTTCCAAATACTAGAACTCATGCCCATTTCATTCAAAGCATGATATTGATTGCATAACATACAATAAGATGAAGTTGTTAGTCAAGCCAAAGCCAAAAAGCCTAACCCTTTTGCATATGTATTGTAGGATTACCCCTTTTGAGCCTTTTCAAGCCTATTTCCTTTGTTAGCCACATTATCCTTACCTAGCCTAGATTAGGACTTCTCATACCCTTGTTCTTAAAGAATAGTGAAGCATGACTTAGAATGAACTCCTTTTCATCAATATATTGCAGAAAACGAGTGTGGGGGGAGGTAATAGCGCACGGCAAAAGGAAAATAAAGAAAAAAAATCATGAAAAAAAGAAAAAGAAAATAGAAAAGTGGTGAAAAGAAAGAAAAAGAGTTGAAAAATAAGTGAGAATGAACTCACAAGTGTTGGTTGTTGAAGAAATGGTCCAAGAGTTCGAAATTTGACCCTAAATGTTGCATGAATCTTCCCTTGTGTTTAAAAGTTGATTTCTGCCATCAAAAGTGAGTTTAAGAGTCAATTTCATTATTTTGCTTCCTATTGCTTTAAGAACCGTTGTTTATCCTTTATCTTTCTTTGTTAGCCAATACCCTTAGCCCAGTTACAACCCTCAACTTCTATCTTGATGTTATGTGTTCAATATGTGGAGTTTGAATTTAGTATGAGCATATGGAATCACTGGTTCTCATTCTAAGTAGTAGCATTCCATTCATGAGATCATATACATGTCATTGTCGTAAATCCAGAAAATGCTTTCTTTGATATAACATATGTGATTGTTAGTCTTCATATTTACATCAATCTTCTCACATATACCTAGTGTAGGGTGTGAAGGTAGAAAATCTGTGTGAAAATAGAGTGCATTCTAGTGAGGAATTGAGGGAATTCTCTAAGGCATGTTACTACATTCAAAACATTGTTTTAATTGATTAAATGTGAACTAATAAGTGGTAACTATGGTTAAGTGTTTGTTGAAGTGTAAAGGAAGCTAAAAACCGTGGGAATGATGTTCTTTAATGTGTCATGTTCGTTGGAAATCCCTGAGATACATGTTGGAAGGTTTAGAATGTGTTTTGTTTTGTTTGTGGTTTCTTTTGTTTTGTTTTGCTCAAAGACTAGCAAAAGCTAAGTGTGGGGGAATTTGATCGGAGCATATTTAGGCGACTTAGTTGGCTTGTTTTCGTACATTTATGTTGTTAGTTTATAGTTATTTTAGTAGTTAAAGCTGTTTTCGTGTGTTTTTAGGTTCATATGGCTAAGGAAGCAAAAAGGTGCATTTTGGAGCATTTTGGAGCAAAATTGGACTTGGAATGGATAGCTTATGCTTGGAGCAAAAGGAATGGACGAAATTGAAGACCTAAAGGAGTTAGGATTCCTAATCAAATGAGGAATCCTAGTCAAAGAAGGTTTCCTACTTCAAGTAGGAAAGTTAAGTCAAGGTTTCCTATTTTGGTTTAACCTTTCCTAATCCTAAATGTCCTTAAATTCCAGCAAGTTTAAAGGCACCTTATGTATTTTAGGATACAAAATAAAGCTCCCTTGCAACCTAAGTTCCTTGTCGTGCATCCCATAGGTGGTTCCCTTCCTTGCCGTGCAAGGGAGGGCCTTGTTTCCTATTCTAAATCATTAAAACACATTCCTTTTTCATCTCAAACTCAGCCACAACTTACATACCTTTTCTATTCCAAAATCTTTGCCTAATTTCATAAATAAAGCACACTCCCTTTCTTGCAATCCTTTGCCGCAAATTACCATTCCCTTTCCCTTGATTTTCTGACTTTGTGTTTCCTTTTCTTTAAGGATTTGGAGTTAAATCCTTTCCTAAACTATGTAATAAAACCTTAAGGATTCTTTCTTCCATATAAATACCCAATGCCGCACCCTTATTGAACCCTAATCACCCTTCCATACAACCTGCCTTCATTCACACAAAAACACAACCTTGTTGCAGCCTTCCATCAGACCTTCCACCATTCTCCTACTTCCATACCTTCACCCAAACCTCCATACACCATCCTTACCCCTTGCCGGACCACCCTACCATCCTAAATCCATTCACAACCCAGAAAATCATCCACAAAACCACCCTAGACTCTTGTGCCGTGACTTAGCAAGGAAGAAAAGAAGAAAGACAAAGCCTTGGACGCTTGTGTAGTCAAGTTGGAGTGTTGGAACGTTTTTAGGTGTAATCTATCTTTTGTTTTCAATGTTTAATTCTATTTTCCTTTGTTTTGTTGTGAACATGAGAGGCTAAACTCGTTTTAGCTTGGGGATGCTTTGAAACCATGATTACATTTATAATATGAGTTGATTAATTCCAGTTGTGATTTCATAAATTGTGAATGCAATTTACTTAATCGTTTGATGGATAACTTATTCTTGTATGTTGATTATGGAGGCCTACTTAATTTGCATGCTTGAATTTGATGCTAGAATATAAGGGAGTTTCACATAATCGTCACAAACTTATATTCACAAGTAGTTAAGGTTGTTTTCACAATCATGTTAAGTAAATTCCTAGCATGAGTATCATGATGTCATAGTTACAAGTGCTTTGTCAATACTTATGATTTCCATTGAACGTAATGATATTTGATTGTATCTCTATTATGATGTCATGTAGGGGACTTTTGAAGAATACTTTGGGTTGTCGTATGATGTCATCCAATCCAATAACTTAACGGAAATCTGAGGGTTAATTAGTAATGTCACGGTTAATCTAAGGTGTTGAGATTCATGGTTTATCGGAAAAGCAACTGGAAATCAATTTATGTTTGAATGTATCATGTGTGGAGAAATATCCCTTGGCTATTTAATCATCCATTGGTTTTTCCCAAATTCGTCAAAATCTGTTTTAAGTCTTTAATTTACTTGTTTTTCTCTTAAATTCGTCCAAAACCAACTCCCCTTTACTTATTTGTTTCAAATCTGTCCAAAAGTGTGTTTTTGAGTCTTTTGAGTCAAAACTAATTGTATTTTTGTCCAAATTGAGTCCTAGAGTCCAAATTGAGTCTTTTTTATTGTTTTGAGTCGTTGAAGTTTGTTTTGAGTCATACAAGTTTAGTTAAGAGTCTTTTGAGTTTGTTTAAGTGTTTTAAAGCATATTTTTACATCTTTGAGTCGATTTTCATTAGATTAGCAATCCCTCCTAATCCCCGGCCTAGAACGATCCCTACTTATATCTATACTACAGTTGTCAAAAAAAGGGTTTAATTTGAGTGCTATTATTTATCACATCATGCAGATTTGATAAGAAACATGTGTGAGAATAACTAATAAGGCAAACATCACCTTATCAGAAAACGTCTTTCACCAATTCAATGGTGGCATGTAGGCTTATCGAAAGAGATGTCCAGCGCAATGCAATGAGCTAAGTACAACGTAGATGAACCCTACTCAAACATAGACCTTTGATTCCATAACCCCTTCAAAAAGTCTCAACTTTGCATCTTGCATACAGATGATTGTGGGTAGTTCGACTGGTGACCAAAATACTATTAAAATAATGCTCGAACCTCATGCCAAGACATGGACGAGTTTTTCAACATATTTCATCTCAAATTCCGATTTCAATTGCGAGTTAGCTTTCTCATGCTTGAGTCTTTATAAGATTTATATCAATGACGTATGTGAAGTCCGGAATGACTTGTTTAGATAACATGCAAGGGGCAAAGATTTATTCACACTAGCATTTGCCTACATATTTTGTGTGTATAAACACATATTAGAGGTATTTTAACATCACATGTAGGTGAGGCTTAAAAAAAACAAACAGCAAAATTTGATCGTATGAAATTACATTTCTGTCTCGTATTTCTTATTCATATTTTATTTTAATTAGAGAGTTAAACTGATAATTTCATAGAATTTTGGTTGATAATGAATGTTTTAAACTGATAATTTCATAGGATTTTGGTTGATAATGAATGTTTTATTAATTAGTAGAGATATCCGCTTGAAAATTAATTTAAAAAGACAGGATGTCCCAAATGGACCAAAGGCCTCATTGGCTTGTTGCGTTTGCACCCTCATTGTTCAAATGGTCGCGAGTAAGAAGCTTCCTCTGTTCATTCCCTCCGTTAGGGTTCATCATTCATGGAGCTTTCATTCTAAGGCAACCCAAATTGTACCCTAGTTCTCTATCCTTGCCTTTCTACCCTCTTAATTTTCGCAATCTCTCACCTGGATTGCTCTTCAATTTCAATTTCATTTTTTGATGTTTAATCTCTATCATGGTTGCAGCAGCTCAATTTTGAAGTTGGGGGTTCCGTTTGATCTTCCTTTAGAATGCATAATTCTAATCAGGACTCGCAAGATCAGAGGTAAGGATCATCTGGGTACCTCTCATTTCTTTGTTTTCGCTTCGTTTTGATGTGGATCTCAATGTTTGAACTCTTTTGTCTCACGGGGGTGTTGTGCGTTCGCCGTCACTCTGGCGGTTTCTTTTCGCATTTTTCTTACCTTTTCAATGTCAATGAAGCCGAAGAAAAGCTAAGAATTGGAAATTTCAAATGCAAAGATCAACTGGTGTTTTGTGGTTTTGAGGTTTTTAATTGTGTATGACTATGAATTTTAGTATTCGTTAGCTGAGTCTTCCTGTTTGTACACTTGTGATGAGAAAATGTAGGAGAGTATGAAATTTTTAGCTTGTAATTCCAGAGTCGAGGAGTTTAATTAGCACAGCTTACTATTGATGCTTGGTATGATGGATGTCATGTTTTATATTTCCATGATCATATCAATGTTAACCATATTGTTTGACGCTGATGCGTCTTTTATTTCTTTATTCTTCTTAGAGATGAAATAAATGATCCCATTTAATGATGAACTACTTGCAGCATTCACTTTTCAGTTTTCCTTTTTTGAGATTAATGGTGTTTGGTTCTTATAGATTGTTTGAAAGAGTGATTTTTTTGTTTTATTTGAGTCATAATAGTGCTTCAACCCCTAATTATTGCCATGTAAACCAGGAGTATGGAGGATTCCAGTGCAATGACGATTGAGTTTCTTCGGGCACGGTTGCTGTCTGAGAGGTCCGTTTCAAGAAGTGCAAGACAGAGAGTTAATGAGCTGGAAAAAACGGTATATTTCAGGATATGGGAAACTGTGGATCTTTTAATATCAGGTCTATTGTTCAAAGAACTCTCACTCTCACTTTCACTAGTTTTACAATATTTGTTTTGTTTACAATTTAGGTAGAAGAACTGGAGGAGCAACTTAAGATTGTTTCTCTTCAAAGAAAAATGGCCGAGAAAGCCACAGCAGATGTTCTTGCCATTTTGGAGAACCAAGGGGCAAGTGACATTTCCGAAGAATTTGATTCCAGCTCTGATCAAGAAACACACCAGGGATCCAAAGTGGGTAATAACTTGACAAATGAAGAAGAAAGCTTCGAAATTTTGACGGCGAGAAGAAACGATCAGGAGGAACTTTCGGGTTCTGATGCTGATTCTTCTCGAATACCTGGTAGAAGCTTGTCTTGGAAAGGGCGCATTGAATCTCCACATTCTCAGGAAAAGTATAAGGATCTATCCACGAGAAGACGTGGCAATTTTACATCCGTGGGTTCAAGTTCTCCAAGACACCACCTTGGAAAATCCTGCCGCCAGATAAAACACAAAGAAACAAGGTTTGTTTGTTTGGCGTACTACTTTTCTTGTTTTCTGTGCATATATAGTATATACATTCATAGGCCTGCTTATTTGATATATGTATGTATGGGTTAAGGTGCTGCGCTATTTGATTTAGTATGTATATTCTCTTAATAAATTTTCCTAAGCCAACTGAAAGTGATTCAATGAAGACAAAAGTATTTCATCCGTTAAGGTGCATTACAAATACTAGCCTAATCTAACTGTAGAGATGTCTTCAACCTAAGACCTAAGACTTTTGGTATCAAATACTAACCGCAGCAGCCCAGTTATCTAATATCTAAGTGTTGTTGTTGTTATGATTGTTATGGTTAATATCATTGTTGTTATCATTATTATGTTTGCTTTAAAACTTTGTAGTATTAGTGTAAAGCAAGTTAATAACTTCAGACTTATATGCATATTCAATAAAGAAAGCTATCATGGAAAAATCAGTAAGAACATGTATACTTTATAGTCTTTGTTTCTCTGAATTCAGGAGTGTTGTTATATCCATTCTTCCTCCCAGAATTTTCTAGCTGACGAAGATAATTGTAGACTGAAACTGATTTTTCATATCTATTGCGTTAAATGCTACATGCACTGGTACACAATCTGGGCTGAATTTACCGTATAATGTTCATAATATGTCTATTATGTTATCCTCCCAACAATATAAAACAATTTAAATCCAGAGACAAAATGAAAAAGCAAAAAGAGCAGAGTTTTCTGAAAAGTCCTTGGTTTATGTACCGTGGGGTTCTGTATAACACAGTAGTTTTAAATAGATTCATTTTATTGTATTTTTTCAGATCAGACAAGTTTGATTCTCAAGAAAATGGTGTTTCTGCTTCTTCAGAAGGGCTTCCAAATGGCCTATACGGTGGGCCTGAGAAATTGAGAGAAAGTTCTGAATTCCCAGAAGGGAAAATTTTATCAAATGGTGTGCTGTCAGGGACCATTGAAAAACAAAGAAATAGGGACCTGGATTTCAGTGGGCATGGAAGAGACAAAGATATGGAAAAAGCACTAGAACATCAGGCGCAACTTATTTGTCAAAATGAAGAGATGGAGAAGGCTCAAAGAGAATGGGAAGAGAAGTTTAGAGAAAATAATACCAGTACACCGGTATGTTTTATATGAAGCTATTCTTATCATGGACCATTTAAATGTTTTTGCATCGCCTTCAAAGAATATCACTATTTCGCTGCATAATGTCTTAATGCTTGGAATAAATGCCCTTTGGATTTACATACTCCATAATAGTGCTACAAACCGTAATTGTTACCATGATTGTATAATTTTCCTTTTCCATCTTTTTAGTTATGCTTGACCGATTTTAAGTTCTGCAATATAATTCATCAAGTGTTGTTAGAGTATTTCCAAAACATCTTAATTTTCAATCAGTTAGTTTCTTAAATTATGTGTTGATAGCGTATATAGCCTAGTTTTGGAGTATTTTTGTTAGTTAATTTCTGAAAAGTATGTTGTTGTAGTCCATAGGCCATGGCTTACTTTGATTAGTGAAAACCCACGTAAAAGTTCAAACATTCAGTTCCAAAGAACTTATTGAAGCTGATAACTGAACTTATTCAACCGTCACCACGGTCAAAATTACCATGGGTCATCCCTTTATCATAAAACTAGTCACTAGACTTACTACTAACATATTCACTACCTTTGCAAATACAACCAATGGCACAGTCGTCACTTCACAGTTGCTAATTGCATCCATCACTTTTCAGCAGTGCCATTGCCAACATTCACCACCAATTATGTTGCCATTAGTTGAACTCCCAGTCACAATCTCATATCTTGAATGTTCCTTTCGGCTTCTGGGCTTTGTGTATTCTGCTGTAATTGAGATTTCATATGTTTGGTAAACTTGGTTTGGTTCTGTGTCCTTTCCCAAAAACGAAGAAGAAAATTATAGTTACTCATATGAAAGATAACCCTTTCTTTTCTCTTCCTCAATTTTCCAAGAGATTTGTAGGAGCTACAGTTGTATGCATTCTTGAACAATTACTTTCGTTCTCCGTAATCAGTCTCACAACCCACAGTTTCTTTAAATTAGTTTTCATCTGATTTACTAGAGAAATTAACTCTTGGCAACATCAAATTAGAATTTTCAAACCCGATTTATCAACATATTTGACAACTTCACATCAATTTTCTGTAAATAATTCATCAGGTCTTAGGACTTTAGGTTTATTGCCTCATCTTCAACAATGTCATCAAGATCTCTTGTATGACGTTATATTTGAAATTGTATTGATTCCTGTCCATGTCATCAAGATCTCTGTCCATGTCTTCAAGATCTCTTGTATGACGTTATATTTGAAATTGTATTGATTCCTGTTCTTCAAAAGAATTTCCTTTACTCTCACCAAACTCATTTGTCAAAAGTTTTCGAGTCCCAACCAAATATCATAACAAAACTCTCAATTGCTTTTAAGAAACAATCAAATACCAGAGGAAGGTATAACTTGAGCAAGGAAAAAAGAAAATCTTAAATTGTACTGGGACTCATGCAACGCTAGGTCAAGCAATGGAACAAAAGTCAACTTTATAATAGTAGTTAAACATGATTGTCGTGTGAAAGTATTATTTGTGTTAGCTTTTACAGTAATAGTCTACCATAACTTCACCTGCTAGTTTCATGTTAGCTTGGTGTTGTCTTATTATTCGGGCTTATAGGAGCCACCTTTTCCAGAAGATGTTAATTCTTCTTTCATGGCTTTCAAACGCTTGCTCTACCCATTATATTGGGGATTATTAATGATGATGCAGCATTAGCCTGATTTCTTCCATGTATTTTTCATATGAGTGAGAACTTTACTCTTCCTGTGAGTCTTTAAGATAAAAAAAACGTAAACATGAATATTTTACTGAACTAGCTTCAAAACAAAATTAATCAGTTTTGAATGAACACATGGCGTGGGTGTTTTTCTCCTTGTGATATTGTGTTTGGTACAAGTAACATTTGTTTCTAAGCAGTCATTCACTTCGCTGGTTGCATTTGTTAATAATGATGGTATGTGTTTTTTTTTACATAAAAGGTCTTCTTGTTGTTTTCTATTGTTTGGAATTTTTATCCACTAATCCTGGTGGGTTTTTGGTCATATAGGATTCATGCGACCCTGGGAACCATTCCGATATCACCGAGGAAAGAGACGAGATAAAGGCACAAATGCCATCTCCTGCCAGGGTGACTGCTGCCCAAGCTCAAGAGTCAAAGTCAGCACAAGGAGATGTCTGCCTACCTAAGGAAACAGTCAAAATTCAGTCAAACGGTTTTCTATTAGCTTCACATATTGATATGGGAGGGTTGCAGGATAATCCGAGTAGAAGCTCTGTTGCTTCCTCACAAGTTCAAGAATTTGCATTCCCCACGGCAAATGGAAAGCAAAATCAAGAGAGCTCAGAAAATTATGCTCGGCAGAGTTCACGTGGCTCCCACACTGACCAACTTCTGCATCAGTCGGCCCACAAACATACATCAGATGCCACGTCTTCTGATGCTGGCTATGGTTTCCATAAAGGAAATGCTTCAGGGAGCAGAAACGACCTATATGCATTGGTGCCTCATGACTCGCAGGATAAGTTGGGTGGCGTACTGGATGCACTTAAACAAGCAAGGTTATCACTACAACAGACAATGACTAGATTGCCGCTAGTAGATGGTACATCTGCACACAAGTCCATTGAACCATCCATTCCTGCTACGAAAACTGTAGACAGAGTAGAGATTCCTGTTGGGTGTGCCGGGCTTTTCAGACTACCAACTGATTTTGCAGTTGAAGAAGCTGTGGCTCACAATAGCTACTTTGGTTCTTCTGGCTTACCGTCTGCAAGGCATTTTCCTGAAAATAGGGTTTCAGTTACTCCTGATGCGTTTGTCACAAGCCCTTATGTTGAGACTAGACCAACCTTCTCTACTAATGCTGCTGATCGATTCTCCACCAGTCAATATATTGAGCCCAGACCAACTTTTTCTACTAGTGCTGCTGATCGATTCGTTACCAGTCAATACATTGAACTCAGGCCAACATTTTCTACTGCTGGTGCTGATCGATCCGCCATCAATCCTTATGTTGAGACTAGACCAAATTTTCCAACTACCGCGGCAGTTATATTTCCCAGTAGCCCTAACGTCGATACCAGATCAAATTTTTCAGCAGATAATCGATTTATAACTGGGCGTTATGCAGATTCTGGGTCAAGAGTTTCTCCGCCGCTGCCACATATTGATCCTTACTTTGATATGGGCATCCCCTCGTCGAGGCTTTCCAATCCTCCCTATTCCAACTATCCCTCTGTTCCAGACCCGACGCCATGGATGACATCTGATGAAGCATTAACGAGAGCCCTACCAAGAAGGCCAGTTGGGGCACCAACAGATCGGTATTCATATTACGATCATACTCGACCTAATATGTACAGATAGTAGCATGTAGCATGGCATTGCTAGTTAGTCACAGTGAAGCTTAGTGGTGAGTAGTGGTTTTGTAAATGTTTTTGAAATCATGGCCCTATTGAGCCCTTTACTGAAGGACACGGATTGTACTCGAATGCCGACACGGTTTGTGCTTTTGTGCTTCCATCTTGTCCTGGTTTCTGTTTCCTTTAAAGGCTGTTTAATAATCATTTTGTTACAGTTTTTACTTTTCACTTTTTTTCTTAAAAAAATTGAGTTCTTATTTGATGCTTTTTAGTTTTCAAACAAAAAGTTGACGAGGGTCTGACTTGCCCATTCAAATTTAGGGAAAACTGAACGTTTATTTTCATTTCCGTTACCAAATTATAGTTGAGAAGGAAAACCGGAAAGTCGTGAGTCCTTAAGGTGCGTCTCCTTTAATTTTGAGGGTGTTTCGATTGCCAAACCTCAATTCATGTTAAAATTAAACTTGAGAATTTTCATTTGTAAATGAATATAAATATCACCATATTGGAGTAGTAGTAATGATACCTCTCACGTGATTCAAAATTCATGAGAGTAACCCAACTCCTTAAAAACCATAGCAAAGTTCCAACTTTTCAACATAGAACAACACTCACATTCACGCATATTGGTACACCCCTCACACATGATACCTAGCACATGCTCGCTGTGTAAAAAAAAAAAGGAATTAAGCGATTGTGAATAAACTAAAGATTGACCCAAACTACATGGAATACAATAATGATTTGGCCAGTGGAAGAAACTCTGCATATTATTCCACACTTATTAGAGCAATTTGCATCCCAAACACTTTCCATGGACTCATCAACTGCACTGTACTATATGCGACAAAAAATTCAAAGAAAAGCAGATTTTAAATTCCATTATTTGCCTTATTACAAGGGACTTTATTGGTCAAAGATAACTGTACTAGTTGCTCCACTATGCCTTGAACCAATCTTTGACACCACCATCGCCGCCACCATCATATTCCGGCCTTTAATGCTATCAACTTATCCATCATGGCCACCAACACTTCCGCCGTTTCACCATCCCACTACCGACACCACAACTAGGGTCTCATCATGACCATCACCACCTACACCTTTGCTACCATCACTCCCACCACTGTTTAAATTTTATGTCTTCTCTAAAAAATCAGGTCTATAAAAAATCATCCAAATCCAAAACAATTTGCCAATTGGGAATATAGGGAGTAATCGAACTTATTTATAAGCCCATACAAGGTCCCTCATCTCATCAATGTGTGATTCATTCTCAATGCGCCCCCTCATGTGTAGCGATCGAATTTTCAAGCCTAACACGTGGACACCATAAACAGAGTGACATGGACCCCATGTGGCCGTTACGCTATGATACCATGAAGAAAGTTGAGGTTGCATCATAAAATCAAGGGTAAATTACACTTTACTACCTCAGGTTTGGGGTCAATTTCAATTCCTTATAACACCTTTAAAACATTTCACTTTCATATCTCAAGTACTATTTTATTTCAATATAATACCCCCGTTACATTTTCTATCCATTGATCTGTTAAGTGCTGACATGACTGCCATATTTATGCCACGTGGCTGCCAAATGTGCGCCACGTGGTAAAAAAAAATTTTTAAAACTTTTTTTTTTTTAAAAAAAACCTTAATCTTCTAAAAAAAGGTTAGAAAATCCAGATCCCATCACCCCTCCCCCCACCACACCCAGAACCTTGAACAAAAAGAAAAAACCTGGATCCCCCCAAACCCTCCCCCCCAACCCAACCTGCAACTCAGAAGAAGAAGAGAAGAGGAAAAAAAACCCAACCCCCGAAGACAAGTCTTCGAGCTTGGTCGAAATTTCAGTGATTTCTTCCTCATTTTTAGAAAGCGATGACGTTGGCTTCCTACTGCCTTGAGAGATTTACAGCTGGGGTTGGAGAGAAAAAGTGGGGAAAAAGAAAAGGACTTGAGTTGAGAGCAGATTTGATAGTTTGAGGGGGTAGGAGAGCTCGGGAATTGACAAACCCTAAAATTTTAAATGAAAGACAACATTATATCATCAATTGCAAAATTGGAGATAAGAAAATAATTAGAATCAATCAATTGAAATAAAATTGCATGAAAAATAGAAGGATGAAGATGGAATAGAGAAAGAAGAATAAGAAAAATTGCAAGAAGAATGGAAGGAGAAGGGTGGAAGAGAGGAAAGAAGAAGAAGAACAACAACAACCTAGGATTCAGACGAGAGAGCTAGCGATGTGAGAGAGTGGCTAGAGAGCGCTGCGAGAGAGGGACAAAGAGAGCGAAACAGAAGCTTGTTTTCCTCACCCACCCAACCTACAACCCAGAAGAAGAAGACGAGGAGAGGAAAAAAAAACCCATTACTTCGCCGCCGGGGCTGGGATCTGGGTTCCGCGCTGGGGGGGGGTGGGTGGGGGTGTGTGGTGGGGTTTGGTGGGGGAATATAGGATATGGATTTCACGAATCTGGGTTCGCGGGGGTGGGGGGCAGGGGGGGTAGGGTGATGGGATTTCAATTTTCTAACTTTTTTTTAATTTTTTAATTTAGAAGATTAAGGTTTTTAAAAAATAAAAATAAAAAATTATTTTTTTTGCCACGTGGCAAACATTTGGCAGCCACGTGGCATAAATGTGGCAGCCATGTCATCACTTAACGGATCAATGGATAGAAAATGTAACGGATATATTATATTGAAATAAAATAGTACTTGAGGTATGAAAGTGAAATGTTTTAAAGATATTGTAAGGAATTAAAATCGATCTCAAACCTGAGATGGTAAAGTGTAATTTACCGTAAAATCAATTGGCAATATAGGGAGTAGCCCAACTTACTTATAAGCCCATGCAAGGTCCATCATCTCATCAATGTAAGATTCATTCTCACTAGTTGGAATAAATTTAGTGTTTCTTTGTAAAACCATATTCGTCAATTTTCTTCACTACAAATGAATTTCTCAATGATAATGTCTAAGTTTTTGTAAAAATGACTTATGAATTATTATTAAAATATAAATGGTTTGTGTTGAAAAGTCTCATGGGCAATGAATGCCCACAGTTTCATTAGTAGAATTCTTCAGCATGGGCAGAAGTTTTCAATGCCCATGCAAAGTGAAAGTGGAAAATGAATTGTATTGTCAGAGGACGCGTTATAAGTTTCAACATGCAGTTAATGCATCAGTTTGGAGTTGCTCTATAAATAGAGCACTCCATATGTTTTCATGTTACAGAAAATATAAGAAGAAAGAAAACGAGAGAAAAATATCAGTAACATCATCTATTCCTCTGCTTTTTATTTGTTATCTGCCTGTGCTATAGTTTTAGTGTGACATTTTACATCTACCTTGCACCTACCATTAAAAAGGTTATTCCTCTAACTTTGACCTTTTTATAACACGTTATCAGCACGAGTCTCTAAATATAATTATTCTCTCATCTCTCTTCGCCGAACGGACGAAAGAAAGAAAAAAAAAAGTTTCATTTAAGGTTTTTACTGTTCATCTTCTTCATCTGCCTCAACTGCGCAGTATACCCTCGCGACGAACTGTTTGCTCCATGCCTACTCTTAGTTCTCCAACTAACGGTTACATATATCTTTGATTACTTGTTTGGTGTAGAGATTGATTACTAACCCAGTATTTATTTATGTTAATTTCACTGCAATCCAAGATGGTGCGGTACAATCGCCCATCTTAAATTGCAAATTTATTCTTACTACGATCCAAGACGGTGCGGTATCTTCGCCTATCTTGGACTGCAGATTTAATTTTATTGCAAATTTTAGGTGGAGCGGTATAATCGCCCACCTTACCCTGCATATTTAAATTTACCTGCTATTTAATTTCATTGCAATTTTAGGTGGTGTGGTATAATCGCCCACACTACTCTGCATATTTAATTTTCCTGTTACTTGAGTGGTGCGGAATAATCGCCCATTCTATATTACATTATTTCAATGAGAATGGTGCGGTACAATCGCCATTCTCATTCACCATGAAAATCTCGAGCCAGAAGTTTCGAGTGCTTATCATTTTGGCCTGAAGATCAAAATGAAAAATTTGTAAGAACCAGAAGTTCTAACATCATATTCCTCCAGGAATACATATTATTGCAAGTTCTTACACATCTCATTTTCTTTCAGAAAAGAAAATGGCGAACTTGGCGAAGCTTGAATTTGCTGCCCTGGATATTACCTGGAAGAATTACCTGACCTGGGTACTGGATACCAAGATCCATCTGGAAGCAGGGAATCTTGGAGATATCATCAGGGAATAGAGTAACTCATCCTTTCAAGATCGGGCAAAGGCCATGATTTTCATTCGCCGCCATCTTGATGAGGCACTAAAGAGCGAGTACTTAACGGTTGAAGATCCGTTAGCTCTCTGGAATGCTTTGAGAAACAAATACAATCACCAGATAACGGTGATTCTTCCAAGGGCCCACTATGAGTGGACTCATCTGAAGATCCAAGACTTCAAGTCAGTGGCAGAATACAATTCTGCATTGTTCAGAATTACTTCTCAGATGAAGCTCTGTGGGGATATTATTACTGAGGAGCATATGCTGGAAAAGACTCTCAGCACATTTCATGCCTCCAACGTGCTCCTGCAGCAGCAGTATAGAGCGCGAGGCTATACTGAGTACAACCATTTGATATCTATGCTCTTAGTAGCTGAACAGAATAATGAGCTCCTGATGAAAAACCATCATTCCCGACCTACTGGATCTGCACTATTCCCAGAAATGAATGCTGCTTCCCTTGAAGTGAACGCCACATCCTCTGGTGGTGATAATCATAAACGAGGACGTGGCCACAAGCGAGGTCGATGGAATAGAAAAGGTAAGAACCATGAAGTTCAATTTCATAACCAGGTTTCCAGGCATAATTTAGGCCCGAGCTTCAAAAATGCGAATCGCCACAAAGGCAAAGCTCATATGAACAATACTCCTAGAAACTCTGAAGGAGCCTGCCATAGGTGTGGTGGCAATGAGCATT